AAATCACCTTTCTTCACCATTCGTTTGGTCCATAAACCAACCAACAACATGAACCAACAGGACGTCCGTAGGTGGGTTTAACCATTAACACAACTGTGTCAAGATGTCTGCTGTGAAAGCAGTTTGTTTTCCTGTCGCTTGCACTTCCAGTTTTGACCTCTATGACCCAGTGACTGAGCAGATCTAATCACTGCAACAGAAACCTCCTGTGTGTACGTGTTTCCAGTCCTTTCAGTAGCAGCAGCGCCTGCTTTCCCAGCTTTAGCTGTTTATTTAACACGCACGTGTTAAGGTTCAATACCCCCGCTCTTTGGATTGTGGTAAAACAAAGACCTGCAGAATTTCCATTCTCTGTGTAGCATTCCTAGATTTCATTCAATAAACTGCAGCGTTTCCTTGAGCTCTGTCTGCAAACATCGGATCTGCTGTCCACATCTGTCTTTGAAACACTCAGGCGGGGCACCGTAACAACATCCAGATGTTGCTGAAGCAGAGAGCGGACGTGTCTGTTAGAGGACAGCGAGCTGTCAGATTGATTGATAGCGGCAGCAGAGCTGAGGGTGTTTGTCTTTAGAGCCGAGTTGCAACATTCCTGCCCATCAGTGCACGCTTTCCTTGTGACGTACAGCAAACAAGATCTGCTGACAGTTGTGTTTACGACTGTTTCTGCCGGTGTGTATCACTCTTCTGTTCAAGCAAAGCGTCCCATTGTGCCGAGAGGAGAGAGAGAGAGCTTGTTGTGGAGGTCAAATTGGTGAGGCTCTGTTAACATGACAGAGCCAAACCCACAGAAAACATGCGACACGACACCAGCGACAGCATGTTTCACTTCAGAAAGTCCATCCCATTTGACTTTTTGCTGATATGGTCACATTCACTGGCACAGGAGCAGAGAATAATTTGCATAATGCCGTCACTGATCTAATAAACACTTAGCTGAAGTTAACCGTTCTGTCTTTTATGTGAAGGCTTCATCCCTTGTGCAAGTCACAAGACTAACAGGACACACAGCACAATCTTAAAAGTGAGCAGCTTTAAATGTTCCCCTGGCTCAGTCCTGAGACTGATGTATGTAAATGCAATGGCATTAGCATGCTGACAATGAACATGCTAACATACTAGCATGCTAAAAAGCTTTTAACCAAATGTACATCAGAGACAGATGTTATCTGCTTTGCAGGAATTTGGTCACAAACTCAACTGTTTCAATAATGCTGATGGCAGCAGAAAGTTAAAGGAACACACACATTTAGAGAAACCCTGTACCATGTCATTGCAATACCACTTGTCAGTCTTCCTGGTTAGATATTTGAGGACATGGGGAGTCCAAACAAACCTGACTCCAGTTTCTGCATTAAAGCAAATCTACCACAATCATTTCCAGCTCCATATTTTTATTGTTATTCCTGGACTTTACTCAAGTTTACTCTGTGTTATTTACTTGACACAGAGCCT